TGGTGTGGTGTTGTGTGGTGTGGTGTTGTGTGGTGTGGTGTTGTGTGGTGTGGTGTTGTGTGGTGTGGTGTTGTGTGATGTGGTGTGGTGTTGTGTGGTGTTGTGTGGTGTGGTGTTGTGTGGCGTGGTGTGGTGTGGTGTTGTGTTGTGTTGTGTGGTGAGGTGTTTTGTCACATTGTGTTGTATATTTTTTGTTTTCATCAACACAATTTAGATCATTTAGGAGGCGGGCTACTTCCAACCTGCAAGTCTAGGCCAACCTGGACTGAGAAGGGACACAACCTCCAAAGACAAAGATGGAGATATCTTATTTTCTTTTCTAAATACCTCTGCACACAAGAACCAAACCCATGTCTTCTACCTGCGATAGCAAACTGTACGCGGGTATGTCACTATATGTATGTGGGTCTGCCACAATTAGAATTTTGTTTTGAGCGGCAACATTTTATGATAGGATGAATTAAATATCTTTGAAAACAAGTTGTACACACACGGACTAAACGGACTTTAACTGCTTCCGAAAAAGTTAGTAATGATGTAGCATCCCAAATGAAAACAACATAAGAACGAAAATTATCATACTTTATACAAAGACATTTTCGGCTCATGGTGCTGTCTGTTGTTTTTAGAAACATCCATTGCTATGAGCAGTGACGAACAAACACATGCAGGTGTACAGAAAACTTGGTGGTTGATGACCAAATCAACCGAGACGAAATGTACCACCATATATATATATATATATATATATACTATACAAATACATAATATATTTTATGGAATGTCAAAATACTGTCAAATTTACAGGGGGGGGGAACTTTGGAAGTATTTCAAGAAAAAAAAGTGACTCAGCATACTAAATAGACAGAGTGTTTTTTAAATACGTTGGACTTCAGATTTCACCATATATCTTCGATTGGGAAGGTAAGTGGGGGGGACAACCTCAAGACCCACCACAGGCACCCTCTGCCCACCCTGTCCTCACATGCTATTTAAACTGTACAGTGCAGGGGAGGGAGGGGGAGATATGGGTCAAAGTGCAAATAGACAACCAAATCTGTGACGACAGGCCATACATCACGGTGTACATGGACGACAAAGTCTATATAGCAGGGTCATAATTCACAGTATGCAAATACGGGTAAATTTATATCAAGGGGCCATGTTTCAAAATGTGCGAAAAGACATAAAAGACAGCCGAGACTACATCAAAGGGCCGTAGGTCAAAGTGCAAATAGACAACTGAGTTTATATCAAGAGGTCACGGATCGATCAAAGAGTGCGAATAGACAACCTGGACTCTCGTTTCTTCTTCTTGGAGCCACTCTTGTTCTGACCACCCCGCCGCAGCTCCACAGTGATCACGGGTCTTAGCGGGGGGGGGCAAAACACAGAACAAAGGTGAACAAAAAAAATGATATAATTTTATATGTTGTTTCACGCCCCCCATGGATACTATTTAGATCATTTAAGAGGCAGGCTGCTTTGACACAGCCCCACAGTGACCATCGGTCTTAGCGGGGGGGGGGTTGAAATAAAAATACTGTATTTGTACAAGTTGTTTTGTTTTACGCCCCCATCGATACTATTTAGATCATTTAAGAAGCAGGCTGCTTCGAAACAGCGCAGCAGTGACCATCGGTCTTAGAAGGGGGTGAAATAAAAATACTGTATTTGTCTGTCCCCATCGTTTTATCCAAGAAAAATTCTGAAATTTTGCAAACTGAGCCCAAAAATGTGAAGTTATGCGATTCGGTCAATTTTAACAAAGAATGATAATGGAAAATAATCAGAAACTATGCAAAAAAACTATCAAATTTTGCTAAATTATGCGGGGTGCATAAAACCACGGGGACAGATTTGTACAGGTTGTTTTGTTTTACGTCCCCATCGATATTATTCAGATCATTTAATAATAATAATAATAATAATAATAATAATAATTGCATTTATATAGCGCATATCCATGCTCAAGAGCATGCTCTATGCGATTTACAACAATTATTACCCCAGCAGACCCTCTGAGAACACTCTGAAACATTTTCGGCTTCCGCCGAAGCATACAGTGCAAGCTGCGGATTTCACGAGCTCAAACACTATCAAACTGACAAGATCGTTTACTGTCTATAGCCGGGTACCCATTTCCACCTGGGTTAAGTGAGGAATATTTGTGCAAAGTGCCTTTCCCAAGGACACAATGTTGGGTCCCTGACGGGATTCGAACCCATGATCTTATGGTTGCAAGTCTGAGAGCCTACCCACTAGGCCACCGATGCCATTTAAGAAGCAGGCTGCTTTGAAACAGCCCCATAGTGACCACGGGTCTTAGTGGGTGCAAAACAATGGTAAACAAAAAAAATTATGTAATTTTAGATGTTGTTTTATGCCCCCATGGATACTATTTAAATCATTTAAGATGCAGGCTGCTTTGAAACAGCTCTACAGTGATCACCGGTCCTAGCAGGGGGCAAAACATCGGTGAATTTAAAAAATTATCTTATAGATGTTTTAAGCCCCCATCAATACTACTTGTGAAGCATGCTGACAAAATGAAATTACTTCTTGCAATATATGAATGGAGATATCGGCCAAAAATCAACACAGGGGGTCAGATTAGTAGAATTTCAGCTGATACCATTAACTTCAAATCTAACATGCCTTTTATCGATTTTTACTAATAAATTATACAAACTCAAGCTGTAAATTTGACATATCTATGTCTACAGGTAATTTAGGAGGCAAGCTAAATCGACCCTGCCTCTCAGGCGCCCACCCAGGATGAGAGCGATACAACGTCCAAGTACACAGACACAGATACTCGGTAAGAAAAATAAACAACCACCACAAGCTGGAATCTAAGAAAAGTTTGACACGCATGAACTTGCGCAGAAACTTTTCCCGACCCGACAGCAGAACTGGACATTAAGTATCTCATGCACAGAGAACACAAAGCTGTGAATAAAACTACAACAACAAACTCAAAAACATACCAAATATAACACAAACAACAAAAACATAATAGCAAGCAAGGCAGAACCTTTTTCCTTTTAAACAAAACACATTTAGAAACAATCATGCAAAAGAACAAAATTAACAAAATTAAGAATTTTTGTAGGCAAAATAAAATTTTACCCCTAAAGCTGACCTATGCAACGTATGGCACTTACGGACGGACAAGCGAGATACACACAAAGGGATTGATAAAAAATAGGGATGGGATATGGTTTCACTTTACAGCTTGGGAAAAACAAAGCCCTGTAATTGAAAACGTTTCATGTTCCCCATCCATACAATTTACATTCATTACAAAGCCAGCAGCTCCAATCCTGTCTATCAAGGCAGTGAAGGCAAACCCCGGCTGAGAGAGATACGATGTCCCAGCAAACATAAGGAGATACTCAGTAAAATGTCTCCCTACTCGTGAATTGAACTCACACCTTTAGCGTGCAACAGTGAAAAACCAAACTGGTACACCACAGATGGCGGTAGCTTGTGTGATGGCTTAATTTATGTAGAGAACTTATTGTTAGGTAATTGGAGTTAAGAGAAGCACATAAAAAATTTAACAGCCACTTAGTTAAGGTGGAAAAGCAAGATAAAAAGACAGAGATAACAGGAGGAAAGAATTGAAGCAGTGGGGCCAAACACTTGTACCACCTTCCAACCATCTGTTCTCTACTCCTTACCCAGACAAAACAGGCTGGACTATGAACACTTTGATCTCATTTCTTTCACTTTGGACTACAACGGACAAGCCAACAAAAATAAGTACTGCTAGAATCGATACTCGATATCATAATATACATATGGATCTAACTCCAAATTTCATGAACCTAAAGGCTCAAAAACCGATCGATATAAAAAAATTCCTGATAAAATGAAAACACAAACCCTAATCCAAACTCAAACCCTAACCCTGTAACGTAAAAACCAAAGCACTTGGGTGGGGGGGTGTCCTGACAGTTCCCCATTATGTAGGTAGGTTAGGGTTAATCCAGTAGAAAATGCTGGTATCCATATACCTAAAATTTCAAGATTGTACATTACTGGCTCAATCGCGTGTTGTTGGCAAGGCAGAATCACATTGGCTCCTCCAGCGTGCTCCCACAAGACAATGGTGAACGTTGACAACACACAATGACAACTTCAAAAAAAAAAAGGGGGAGTACACAAAACATACATTCCGTACATAGCAAAACATTTACATCCACAAAACATTTCATACGTTCAACAATATTTACATCCATAATGAAGCATTCCACACATATAACAACAATTACACCTTTAACAAAGCATTCCATATACATAACAATATTTACAACAAGGCAAAAAGTTCCCACATAGAGAACAACACAAGGAAGCATTCCACACACTGAACAACATTTTCACCCACAACAAAGTGCAGTACTCTTATTTTCCAAATTCTGCAACACCCTACACAGAGCAAACTGCGTCCCTATATACAGTCCAGCTATATACGCAGTATCCTAACATCCAAAGCAACAAAATGTTTTAAAACAAAAACAAGGCAGAAACTTTGAAATACTGAACATCTTACCCAAAGATAGACTTTCGCTTTTTTAATTGGGTGCCAGTGTTTCTTAAGATAAGAGAGGGAAAATACATCAGGAAAGAAAACGTGTGAGAGAGAAGTGACGCTACAAGTAGAATAAAATTTTGATCTTGAAAAATATTTTGTAACCCCTATCGACGCAATTTCCATTTTCTATGGGATGGGCTGCAGTTCTGACCCTGTCTGTCGAGGCAAACTCGGGCAGAGAGAGATACATCATCCCACTTGACCAACAGCTGATACTCAATTAAATAATTTCTCAATGTAAGAACTGAACTCACATCTTCTTCTGTACTCCTTTTTTAAAGGAACAGAAAGCATTTGAATTTCAAGTTAGATATAAAGATAGAACAAAAGTTCTACAACTGTTTTTCTCAGAGACAGGACCAAAAAAAATAATGAATTCTGAAAAAGTTTTGAGAATGAATTCCTGTGAAAGTTAGAAACATAACCAACAACATCAGGGCATAAAAAGACCTCTATAAAGTCTTCAGTCTGGATTTGCAGGAATAAGCAGACGAGCTCTCTCGTTAGTCATCAGTAGTTAACATGCCATCATTTACCCTCAGAGAGGAAAGAAAGAATGAAAGTATCATCAATCATTGAAGCAGATTAGGCATTCATGGTTCGCCATTCACTTTTCTGCTCAGATGCTTTAAAATACAATAGTATCCTAGTCTTTCCCCATCACCCACCTGTTCCAAGTTCTCTCAGTAGTTCTAGATTTACCTCTTCCTCTTTTGCCTTTTACACTTATGAAAGTACAGATATAATAATAATTCAAATACAGTCTCTTGTTCTATAAGCCTGAACAGCTGATACCGTTTTGCCAAATGTCAGAGTAAAACGTTTGTTTATTTGCTTGTTTGTTTGTTTGAGAAAAGAGAAACACTTTTTTTTAAAATGACAGTCAATCAGTGGAGAGAAAAAAGTAAGACAAGACAGACAGAGGAAAAGAAAAGTTGAAGGACCTAAAAATTGCGCCCTCCGGAAAAGATGGAAAGAAAAGAATGAAAATATAGACAACAATCATTTTCTTCTAGTATTTGTACTGTGAGCCAGAACCGTTGACAATGCCTTCAGTCCACCTTTTACAATCGACCAGAAAAATCGAAGAAAGCAATGGATAAGCATTCGAGATTAGTAGCCTACATTCTTTTTTATGTTAATTAAGAGCTAGGACATTGGCAGGCCTTTAAAGTGCAAAAAATATGCCACATGACATCACCTTCAGACCAAAGCTTTGTTAGATTGCTTGAAGCAAACAAGTATGAGATAGTCTATATCACATGTGTTATGCTCTAACCATGTAACTCAGTGCTTCCCAACCTGGGCGATATCACCCACATGTATCACTTGTGTACTAGTGATAGGTACTATTTCATGCCCCACTTGGAAGTACATGTTGGTGGGTGGCACAAAAATTTTAGCCACTTAGGGGTGGCAAAAGGCTCACTGACAAGCCCTGGGGTAACTAGCTTCTTAAAAAATTTTCAGCAAGCAAATTTTAAAAAAAATTTTAACCACCCTTCTCACTAAATAATAAAAGTAAACACAAAAATAACCTGCAGTAACTTTATACTATTTATAGTGCATGCCGACTCCTGATTTTTACAAGCGCCCACAGATCTCACTGAGCAACAGTTTTAGGACCAAAAAAAAAGCAAACGACAAGTTGACTCATTTCTTTGAGTCACACGGTTAGAAAGCGTAACACCATTTACAGGATTGTGGCAATACCGGAACATCATAAAATGTTACTATCTTTCTCAAAAGCTTTATGTCTCCATTTATAAATTCCTGAGAAGGAACACAATGCCGGGTTAGTCTATGTCAGTTCTATCTGTTACACAGCGGCACTAGACACTTACTCTGACTTCTCGATCCGCTCTAAAGTGTTTGGGGACGCTGGGTCATAGTCAATGTATTCTGGAACAAATTTTCAAAAAAAAAGGCATTCAATAGTGATTCTCTTTTTTAAAATTCAACAGAGTTCAACAGTGATCTCAGGTTGTTTTTTTAAAGTTTAATAGTGATATAAATTATAATCAATAACAGACACTGATTTAAATTTCTAAAAAAAAAAGGCTGTATGAAATATAAAAAGATGATCAACTGTGGTTTCGAAAAAAACAATGTAAGTGATATAGAAAAAGTCCAACAATGAGAAAAAAAAGTTGAATCAAATGACCAATCTAATAACAGTTTATGTGATATTACAACAACAACAAAATTAATAAGGCAATCAACACTGATTTCCTGCTTTTTCCCAAGTTAACAGTGACATTAAATAAAAGATGACTAACACAGTCAGTGATTTAAGGGGGGAAAAGTTCAACAGTGAACAGTATAGTTCGTAAAACAGGTAGGCCAGATTGTACAAGTTTGAACTTATGAGATTGAGTTCAAAATTCAACAAACAGGCAGGCATGAAACGTTGACATGAAATTTGAGTTGAATTTTAAGTGGTCTCCACTCATTGAATTAAACAATTTTAGCATGCTCTGCAAAAATGGCTTCCTGAGAGGAGGCGTATCTGTGCCCGACATAGCCATGGACACAATAAGAAGGAATAAATAAGCTGCTAACCTTCAGTAACTGTGGCTAAGCTTATCAATGCTTACCTAGTTTGCCAGGCAAAGAGCCGGTCTCCGAGCCATCGTGGCTACCCTGACCATAAGAAAACCTGTCTTTTCTCCTGAAAACACAGACAAAAATTGCTGTTCAAGTGAAATACGACCTCAGTTTAGTTTTATTTTAAAAGTTTTACGGCACTTGCAACACAATAAGTTCATATAAGTGCCGAAGAATAGATGTGTTACAAGAGAGTAACATACACAAAAAAGAAAAAGGAGAGAGTTTAGTTTTAGTAAAAGTTTTACGGCACTTGCAACACAATATGGTCATATAAGTGCCGAAGAATAGATGTGTTACAAGAGAGTAACAAAAAAAAGGAGGAGAGATAAGGACGACAGATGTTTGATAGGAAAGAAGGAGCAAACCACACCAGAGCACCCGCCAACCACTCGCAGATATGACCTCAACATCAAGTCAAGAGATCAATTCATGTACAATAGAGACAAGACAGCAAAAAGACACACAAACACAGAGACACAAAGAAAAAATTAAATATACGTGTCAAGAGACCTAATTCATTGCCACACAGATCAGACAAAACACGGACTCCCAGACAAAAAGACACACAGATGAATGTTCAAATTCATTTCAACACAGATAAGACAATACATGGACACAGCAGAACGTACAAGCGGAGAGTTAAAATATACAGACACAGACAAGTCAAGATATACAACACCCAGACAAACATACCTATTGTAAGGTCTAATTCACAGACAAGTCAAGATATACAACACCCAGACAAACATACCTATTGTAAGGTCTAATTCACAGACAAGAAAAGACACTCACAAGAACAGACACAGATAAGAAAACACACAAGCACTCAGACACAAAGCCAAGAAAAGATGCAGACAAGAAAAGACGCAAAATTAAAAAACAAACAAACACACAGACGCAAAGACACACAGACAAACGATCAAACGTACGTGTCGAGAGATTTCGAGGAGCCATGGTGTGCTGGTGGAGAGATGGGTACCACTGTGTCCAGGTTAATCCCCAGTGTGGCTTTATTGGACAGGGAGGGGTTACGTGGAGGGAGGGGAGGGGAGTTCTCAGCAACCTGGCTCAGTGCCTTGGAGGTGCGGGGGGGCAGGGCAGGGGGCGGGGGAAGGGGAGGGCCGGCACCACCCCCACCGCCACTCGACGAGGACGACGAAGCCATATTGGGCACTCCGCCTTCCGACGTCTGACTTCTAAGGGTCACCGAAGCCGATTCCTCAGCGTTCGCGACAGTTGTGGTAGATGCTGTAGCAGCGGTTGAAGCTGAAGTGGAGATGTTGTTGCTGGCGGTGTTGGTGTTGTCGTCGCGGTTGATGCCACGACCCCCACTGCGCTCGCTGCTGGTGCGCGACAAGTTCTCAGCTAGGTCGCTGTCCACGTCGTCAGCATCATCGATGAAGTCGCCCTCAGAGTCTGTGCCCGCAGACACTCCTGCAGGCAGGAAGCAAATAGTGAAAGAAAGAGGGGAAGAAAAGAGAAGAGATAGAAATTTTAAAAATGAAAAAGTAAAGAAACAGTGAAAGAAACAAAGGAAGAAGAGAGCGGGCTGCTTAGTGAACAACTCTGCAATAAGCCCTTTTGAAAAGTAATGCAATATGGGAGTCTTATGCTGTTTAGAAACAAACAAACAAACAAACAAACAAACAAACAAACAAAGAGAGACAGACAGACAGACAGACAGACAGACAGACAGACAGACAGACAGACAGACAGACAGACAGACAAGACAGAAAGAAAGAAAGAAAGAAAGAAAGAAAGAAAGAAAGAAAGAAAGAAAGAAAGAAAGAAAGAAGGGAAGAAAGAAGGGAAGAAGGGAAGAAAGAAGGGAAGAAGGGAAGAAAGAAGGGAAGAAGGGAAGAAAGAAGGGAAGAAGGGAAGAAAGAAGGGAAGAGAAAAAGAGACATAGAAAAGGGGAAATAGAGAGACACCTACAGATAAGGAAGAAAGAAAGGAAGGACGAAAAGACACAAAAAAAACATTCCTACACATAGAAAAGAAAGAAAATAAGAAACAAAAGAATGGGGGAAAGAAAGGAAAAAGACAAGTAACCATTTCAAACCCATATCGTCACAGGTTAGATCATTTACAAGGATGGTTGCTTCGACTCTACCTATCAGGGCCTCCTGCTGACTACGATACAGCATCCTAGCATAAAGTTACTGGACATTTGTCTAAAGTATACACCTTATCTCGAAAAAGCTCAGACAGACGTCATCCATCATGGTTCCCTACTCATTTCTCCACTAAGATGCTCTGACTAAGGTTACATCCCTCAAATACCAAAAAGATATTTATGCTTCAACAGTGACTGAACCTTCAAGTGACTTTACCTTCATAACTAAAACAGCTAGACTAAAAACGTTTTCAACCACTTGAAGGGTTTGGACAGATATTTAATTTGATGCCCATAGCCTTATATCATTGTCAAATGCACCATCTGACTAATTTTACCAAGTTGCTACACATACAGTAATGCCTTGAGATACGAGTGAACTTACATACAAGTTGGGTTGTTTTTTTCCAGATATGAGGTGAAGTTTAAATCAATTTCTTGCCTTGAGATACGAGCTGAATTTTGAATTACGAGTAAGTTTCAGTTAAATAACACAATTAATTTTTTGTCTCGGGGACTAGACTAGCCATTGCTGGACTGATTAAGCTGTTGCTAAGCTAGTTGTTGTAGTCCCTCTCTTTTTCTCCTCCATCAATTGTCCTATAAATCAACTGAGCTTCTTGGTTTGGCATACTTCATTTCTTTACAATTTGTTGGGGTTTTTTCGTTTTTAATTTGTACTGCCATACGCTGATAAACACCTTTTTATTATTCACAGCAGCTTCGAGATAGAAAGATGTTTTGTCGGCAAAAACTTTAAAAAGGTGTTCTTCCAAAATTTGAACGCTAATTTATTCAAACACTAGCCACAGTTTGTTTGATTTTTTTCACACAAGTAGGGTAACTGAACTGGCTATCAATTTAGCAAATCAAAAAATTAGATGCCAAAAAATGAAGAAAAGGCTTCGTCAGCTAAGGGTAGTGTTCTGATTTCTTCACTACATTTTTTACTTTAACAACCCCATAATACAAAAGTAGGATGAGTCTTAGGAAAACAAGGGTGAATTTAAGGTAAATAAGGGTGGTGTTTAAGGACCTGGATTAGATCAAAAATATTCCATCAATTTC